AATCTCTTAGCATTTTCCTTTTTTTTTTTTTTTTAAAAAAAAAAAAAAAAAAAAAAAAAAAAAAAAAAAAAAAAAGACAATATGATTTCAATGTCTCATCTGAAGTCTAAATGATGCAAGATTTGTTTCTCTTTCACAGTTGCTGCAAAAACAGACATCCGCACCACACCATGTTGTACACAACAGCCAGTGTTCACTGATCCCTGCTGAACATCAGTTCAAATTATAATCCAGTACAGGCAGTGACTGAAAAAGGCAACATGCTACATTTCATTGCTCTGGGCCTTTCTGAAAGGGTCCTCTGAGAGCGCTATGGCCCCACTGCTTCCAGCTCCCTTGGATTAAGCAGGGATACCTCTCAAGCCTCACTTACCCAGCTCAAGACCCTCAAACCTGTCCTTTCATCTCTCATAGATGTATTATATCCTCCAATTTCAGCAAATCTACCAAAACCCACATTTTGCTTTTTTTTTTTTTTTTTTAAACGTCCAAACTACATCTGGCACCCAGGCCATATTCACTGGCTTGAGCACTCATATGGATGAAAGACTGATGGCTTAATTTATGAAGTCTTCTTTATTGTAAACAATCATAAACAAGAATAGACATTTAAGTAGAAGAAGTGGAGCTGGTAAGATGACTCACTTGGCAAACTGCCCCAGAAACTATGTAAAAACCAGGACATGGAGGCATGTATTTGTAATCTCAGTACTGTGGAGATGGAGACGGACAGATTCTTAGAGTTCACTGGCCAATCAGCCTAGCTAAATCACGTGTCCCAGACAAAAGTGAGAGACTATCTCAAAACATAAGGTAGAACATTCCTAAGGAACAACACACAGGTTGATCTGTGTCCTCTCCACACAGGTACATACATGTACATATACGTGCTCAAATGAAAACGTTGATCCATAGACACGCACACACACACAAAGTGGTATAGGTAAGTCACCATCCCCAGCAGGGACTCAGCTGCAGAGGACTGCATTTTTCCCACATTGCATTTTTCAGCTTCATAAGGGTGTTGTTTAAAATGGATTTCAGCAAAATCTTCAGACATGAAAAAACCTACCCAGATAATACACATCTGCTCTTTTCTTTTTGCTTAATAAGGTGGTAGCTATATCTTCTGTGTGTGTGTGTGTGTGTGTGTGTGTGTGTGTGTATACATGTGTGTAAATGTTTGTGTCTACTTATATGTGGGCAGGTGCACGTGTGCGGACCTTAGATATCATCAACTACTCCTCACCTCATTTTTTTGAGATAAGGTTTCTCATGAACATGGAGCTTATTAATTGCGTGAGGCTGGCTGGCCAATGAGCTCCCAGAATCTTCCAGTCTCCGCCACCCCCCACATCGCCCAGTGCTCAGTTATAGACAGGGGCCATTCACTCCGATTTCTGGTGCTGTGACTTTGAACTCAGGTCCTCATGTTTGCTGCCCACTGAGCCATCTCCTCCAATGCTACCATACCTTTGCAGAACGCATTGCTGGTAATCCATACGTACAAAGAAGAACTCAAAGGAGAGTCAGGGGCCTGCTTTCTCTTATTGGCAGCCCCTGCTGTAAAATAGCCACACCCTTGGCCATCCATTACAGACTTTTTCTACTATTTAGCATCTTGATCTGATACCGGGGGTACCGTGTTTGCTCAAATCCAGGAGAACCCACTCATGCATTATACCTAACTTTCACAGCAATGCTTCATATATTTAAGTGATTTACTAATTTCAGTGCAATTCTACATGTGTGGACTCACTGGGTATACACATCACACATCTAGGTAGTAATCAGGGGAGGGCCCGTGATATCCAGAAAGCCAAGGAAACCACACAGAACCTCCTGACATTTCAGGATCTGGGATAGCCAAGAAACAAAGTGCCTGCTGGGAAATTTTTATTGCTTCCCCTTGAAATTCAAGCCATTACATCAAAATCTATATCAAATATAGCGTTGTGGAGTCCTTTAACAATGGGGCAAAAACATCACCCAGCAAAGGTGTCCCACAGAGGAGTAAGGTTCCTATTCTTCCTATTCATGTAGGATTCCTACAACTTTGAAATAATTATCTCTCCAGGTTACTGGTCATTGTAACTTGAACCACAGCAATAGCTTGCTGGCAAAACTTTCCTGTCTTGGTCTTGCCCTTCCCAGCACCAACTGCTTCCTTCTCCACTAACCATCACAGTGACCTCTTCAAGGAATATTTCAGATATACAGAAGAGTACACAGAGAAAGACACTATTTCAAGAAATGAGCAGAAATTCTGCTACCAGGGCAAAGGAGTCTCTAACTACCCAGCCTTTCACCAAGAGCCAGTGTGAAGGCTAGAACCATTAAAGGCTGGTAGTCCCAGTGTCTAAGCAGGGATTCCTCATGTCCTCCTCCTCCTGTGGAAAGAGTGGAGGGAGTAAGTTGTTTCAACCACTTCAGAAACTTTTTGCAGTACCAATGAAAGCTGATTATATTTGAACCCTTCACCCCAGCATTTCTTCTCCATGGAATCTATACCACAGAATTTGCACCAAAGGCTTGTAAAAAGAAGTTCATAGTAAGTCAGATGAATGAATCCCATGATTGCCAGAAACTCAATGGGGTACAAACAAAGTCAGATGCAACTAGCACTTAAGGTGTATTTCCAGGCAAGCAAAGAATGGGCAGAAGTTAACACGTGGTGAGTGGCATGTGGAACAGTGACCAGCACTGGGCAGAAGAATGGGTAGCAGCTTGGTAGAGAGTTAGCTGGTGTTTGTAGGGGGAGAGCAAAGCTTTCTTTCTAGATCAGGGTGTGCTTTCCTTAGATGTGTTCTGTGACGGTTTGAATGAGACGTGTCCCCCTTAAGGACCAAGTTTTGAACACTTGGTTAGTTGGTAGTGCTGTTTGGGGAGGGTCATGGGACATTTAGGAGGTGTGGACATACTGGAGGAAACAGGTCACTCTGGACTGGCTGTGAGACTCCATAGCTTTGCCCCATTTTCTTCTTGTTCTGCCTCCTGCACCTGCTGGAAGATGTGAGTACTCAGTTCTCTGCTCCAAACACTTCCTGCCACCATGCTTCTCCACACCACAGTGGACTCTTCTCCCTCTGGAACTGTAAGGCCGATAAATTCTTCCATCTATAAGTCATGGTGCCTTATCACAGCACCAGAAAAATAACTGATACATGTTCACTCCCTGAAATTCCTTGAGATTCGCTTTTATAGTTAATGCTTTTCTAAATATGTCATGCTTCTTTGCAATAGCCTATCTTTCTAAAAACAGTGAAAATTGCAGAGAGATCAGTAAAATGAACAGCGGAGTGATGTGAAGAAGAAAGCCATTTTAACCGAAGCTCTTCTGGGCTCTCAATCCCTCATTTTCTCTGGGTGCTGGAGGACAGCTCCCATCATCTCCCGATACTTGTCAGTATTACTGCTGTCCGTGTGTTCTATTGAACAACACTATACAATTTCCTTTTTGCATTCAAAATTATTCGTCCTTGTACACACTAATGTGCTGCACTTGTTTAGACTGCTATGTGTATGCCATTATGTAAATATGCCATGGCTTACAACTTCTCTTCTTGATGGGCTTTTGGGCTTTCAACTTCTCAGTAGAATAAACAAAAGCAGAATGGCTGACTCAGCTAGTAGATGTGTTTGCATTCAGGCCTGATGATCCTCAGATCCCAAGATGGAAGGGGAGAGCCGACTCTTGAGAGCTATGAGAATGTGGAATGTGGAATGTGCAGGCCACCCCCCCCCAAAGCATAACATTTTTAAAGTGAAATTAACTTCTTTAGTGAGTGGGAGCAACACTTCTCTTTGTGCATCTCAGTTTTCTCAGCAAGTAACTGCCGGCATCTGTCTCCAGCAAGCCCCCTAGGAGAAACTATTTGTCCACATCAGCCCAACCCCAAGGATTAGGGAGTTCTAACTGTTCTTCACCCACCTAAGGGCAGCAGATAGAACCTTACTCAAGACAGTGGCAATGTCCTGTTCCTCAGTCATGAGTTGCTACACGCTTTACCACCTGCCTATTCATGTTTCATTTTAAAGTAAGATCTTTTATACAGAACTTTAAAACTATTAGTCATTTTATGCCCCTCATTGTCTGAAACCTTTCTGAGTTCTGCATTGCCTTCCTCCCATAGCACATGGGCCCCACTGTCCTGACCCCACGCCTCTTCTCATTCATCCAGAAAGCACCCCTCCCTCAGAGTTTCTAGTACACCAGCCTCCTTCTAGAAGATCCTGTCTCAAGCTTTGCTTTTGCCCGTGATCCCTCTTTCCACAATGCTGTCAGTCTCCCAGGAATTCCCACCCTGGATCTTTCTGACCTGAGTTCTGGTAAGTGGCAATTTCTCTAATAGGCCCTTTAAGCCATATCTAGTGAGAGTTTAGCCATTTTAGTTCATTTTTTGATTTATATTCCTCTGGCATTTTTAATTCTCTGATATTATCTTCTTATTTGTCCTTATTATTATAAGAACAGATGTTCCCTTGTTTACTATCTCTTACATCAGACAGTTTGCTCTTCAAAAAAGAGACACTGTCTATCTCATGGGCCATGGAATTTCTAAATTTCCTGAACTGAGAGCAGTCTTTGGCATACGTTAGGTGCCCAATAAATGTTCATTGACTCAGTCAATTACAAACGAACCAGTAAAAGAACAGATTCTTGAAGCGGATACTTCCATTAATGCATACAGTAAATACTGCATGCTCAGTTACCTTGGCAAGTTATACAACCCTTCTAAGATCTATGTTTCTTATTAGTAAATTGGAGTTACCACCTAACTGCCATCTGCCCAAGTTATGGTTCTAGATATTTGTATAATTTATATAATTTCTCAACAGAACTAATACAGGCGATCAATATGTTACAGACATTCCTGTTACATATTATATCATAATACAGTTTCACCATATAAATACAATTGGTTACTTGCAAATATATGCACAGAGAAAGGCGGGGGGGGAGATGCTCTATGTTAAGGGGAAGGAATCTTGCTACCCACCTGTCTACAATCACAGGAGACTTGGTGGATTCCTCAGCTATTTTAGAAGCTACTAGATAATTGCCCAAAGAGTAAAATGCTCTTCGAATGATAGTCGGTTGGTTATCAAAGGTTTTCCTCCACTGACTGATACAGGAGGGTGGTGACTGTAAGAGCACAGCCTTGAGAGACTTCGACAGTGACTGGGTCACGGTGGTTTTACCTGCAGGCCACACACAAAACAGAACGTGTCTTAACTGCAGCCCGCATGACACTTCCAAAGGTTAACATTAACTGAGAAAGAGTAAAGAAAATCCTTCATCCTATAATTCAAAGAAGATGATTAAATAACAGAGCTCTTTATGAAAAGCTGTAGACCTCATGGAATATAGGGTTCCTCTATTTCACTATTAGAATGCTTGGGGAAAGAACACAGACCTCTGTGTATGCATTAATGATAGGCTCTGGTTTGGTGGCTAAGCCACCATAGCCATTTTAGGTGCTGCTTCTATTCCTGGCCATCTTCTGCTCACCTCACCACATCCCCAACCCTTGTACAGTCCCTTCGCTGCCCATCTGTGCCTGATAGGTCTTGAGGAATCTCCTTTCAGACATCTTCCCATTCTTCTTCCACTTCCACTCAACCCCTCTCCAAGGTCCAACTTCCCCAGCTGTTCTTGCTTTTGCCCAACTTCTCTTCATTGTCTACCTTGCCCAGCCCAGTCCACTTCCACCACACTCCTCTCCAAGTACCAGCTTGCTCTAGCTCCATTTCTGCTCTTTCTACACTGGCTTGGTCTTTGGAGTGCCTATATGTGACTTTAGAGATCAAGTTCCCCTTCAAGGTGTAAGTCAGTTTTGCCTCATCTCAACTTCTCTTTGCACAGCCTTGAATGTTTCATTGCCCTGAGCCATTTCCTGGGCCTATCTCAGACATCCAGGTCATGGCCTGGAGCACAGGATGATGGTGATAAAGTATAATCTACTCTAGACAGATTCAGCTTCTCTGAGCTCCAACTGTTTACACTTAAGGTCCTTTTCTCTCTCATATTTAACATTCAATACACCATGACTTCATAATCAACTTCTCATGTACTCTTTGGGGCTATCCAGACAGATCCCAACAGTACTGACCATTTCACATTATACACTGTGAGCACGCAGTCAACACATGACATGTTCCTAATGCCTAATTCTGCAAGACAGTTTTCACTGAATCACCAAGGACTGGAGAAGCTCACAAATTCATCCAAACTGTGAATGGGCCTAGCCACAGATGCAACCTTGTCAAATGGTGTCATTCCTTTCCCCACCGTAGACTATCTCTCTATGAATCTTCTTTTTAATCCCACAGAATCTGAGTTAGCTCTAAGTACAAAGTAAATTATCAAGAAAAAACACTAGCTAAAGGACTGCTGTTGTTAAAATTCTCTCTGCTGCCTCACAACAACCATGACTGGGTCTTTGCACAGTGGTGAGAGCTGGCTGTCTCAAGTCTAAGGACATCTCACCTCCTACCTGGTCACTCAGATGCAGCCAGGGCAGTGAACACCACCCATCCTTCTGTGCCACCTAGTTGTAACACAAAAGGCCCCCACAAGGAAAGGGAATGTGGCTCAGTGGTAAAGCACTTGCTTAGTGTGTGTGAAGCCCTAGGTTCGATATCAGTATCACACACATATACACATACACACAAAAGTAAGATAGCAATCTGCACCCATCCAAATGACACAGGAGAAGCTCTGACATGGGGCCTGAGGATTCTGGCATCCCCACCATGCTGAGATGCTCTGGTCTCACTGTTGACACGTCTCCTATTCTGACACCTCCTGAACAACTCAGGAAGCTGATATTGCCTCCTTACACATTCTGCTCCAAGATGGGCCTCCAAATGGCCTGTGGCTCCTGGGCATCTGCTGCTGATTAAAAAACTGCACAGGCCATTGCTTCCATCTACACTACCTTCCTTGTTTTCATCACCTGACCTGCTCCTGTTTGTGCTTAGAGGGGTATCAGCTCTATGCATAGAGTCTCCTTTGGAGATCAGATTTGTTGCCTTCCCTTCCCACCAGAGCAGGACCCACCCACTGAAGGTCCCACTCACTCCTCCTTGTGGCCCAGAGTCTGCTTGGCACTTTACTTGAGGAGGACAGACTCATACAGGTATATAAGGTTTAGTATTGCAATAACTGTTCCTTCTGTAACTTATCAGCTAAGGGCATTGCCTATGACTATAAAGTGATATTTACTTACCAGTGGCATCCAGTCCTTCAATGACAATAACCTTGAACTTTCCTTTCTGGATCTGCTTGGGGCATTGGTCGACAAGGTCAAGCACCTTTTGGGCTTCCGGAATAAAGGTTATGCACTGTGAAAAACATACAGAGGCATTGGGTCTTCTAAGAGCCTGAATCTATTCTGCCAAGGACAACACTGCCCAGTGCTAATGGGGCCTATGCAAAATTGATCATGATGACTGGCACATAGACTTCCTCACATTTGGAAGGTGGAACAGGCTCCAAAAAGGCTGTTTGACTCACACAACCTGCATCCTTTACTGTCCAGCTGACCCTATAGAACAAGGGGGAAGTAAACACATGATCACAGGACAGTGTCACACAGCCACAGTGGAACTATAGGCTCCACTGGGAACTGAGTCTTGGGTATAGGAAGTGAGCTCTCCTGCAGGCTATAACCAGAATAAGGCACTGTCCTTTGCCTGCTCCTGATGGCCTCCGGGACTGAGAAAAGTGTCTAAAGCTGGCTCCGCAGCATCCACTGGGAATTCAAAGTTCTCTACTGTTCACTCTATCCCATACCCCTGGGACTCCAACTGAGGCCCTGTCTCTCTTATTCATTTATTTCTTTAGTGTAAACCAGGCTTCCAAGGGCATTCTAAGTATTAGGTTGGCCAAGCTCCATGGAAACTCTAAGGCTGCTGCTGTTATCCAACCCGAGTTAAGGAGACCAAGGCAGCATGTTGGAGGAGTTTGCTGAAAGTGCTTAACTAATAAATGCCAGAAATCAGATTCACCCCTCTGGCTGACTTTGTACTCTCTGCCACTCTGCAGCCCTGCCCCACAGCTTGTAAAATAGGTAAGATCCATAGGGCAGTGGGCTCGATCTGCCTGCCCCAGCACTGCCTGTGGTAAAAACAAACAAACAAGCAAACATCAAAAAACCCTAGTCTTTTTTTCCTGGAGAATCTACAAGAAATTCAGTGTCTTTGACCATGGGACATTTGCAGGTGAAGGGTAAATAAACAAAACAAAACAAAACAAAACACTTGAGGAGCTGAGGTCCACTAGCCTGTCAGGAGGACTCTGTTAAGTCTAACTTCATTACACTCCCAAACTCATGTAGCATCCTCTGCACCCCAAGATTCCAGGCTGGTAACCACTGCCCAGCAAAACCCTTCCTAGCTGGCCTTATCCTTCCCCCGTTCCCAGCAATCTCTCTACACAAACCAGGACTCTGAGAATACATTCAACAAACATTGTTTTGCTGGGTGTTGGGATACATTCCGCAGTGACAGTATGTGTCTATGTGACAGTAACCTGCCCACAGATCGCTGGATGCATGGCCTGTGTCTAACACAGAGCCTTCACACAGCTTGCCAAACAAGAATAAGCAAACCAGGTGGCACGCTCAGCCAACCTGCAGCACAGCGCCCCGCTGAACCAAGACCTGCATGCCGCCCTGGAAAGAAAGCATTCCTACCTCCTCCAACACCGCTTTCGCAGCATCCCTGTCAGTAAAGACCACCGAGTTGAGTAGGTCAGGCAGCACCGGGTGCAGCTGAGGCGCCGGGACCGGCAACACGCATGCGCAGTCCACCTGCACCTGCCTGTCCCCCTGCAGCGTCCAGAGGCGGTGTCTCAGCAAACCTTGGGCGTCCAGCTCAAACTCGCCCAGGTGCGGGCGCGCGGCCTCCGGGCAGGAGCCCAGAAGCTCCAGCAGGGAGCCCCGGGTGTCCGGGTGGTCGCCGGGGTCGCGCAGCAGGAAGCCGTGCTGGACGGCACCGGCCTGTCCGCCTGGACCGTAGCGGAAAAGACGCCACTGTTGCCAAGGGCCCCGGCACAGCTGGAGCAGCAGGCGCTGGAGCATCCGGGCCGCCTGCACCCGGGGCCCGCAGCCTCCACCGGGTGTCAACGGCACGCACAGCGAGTAGCTGCGCCCCGGGGGCCCGAGCTGCGCGGCCAGGCGGGGGTCCAGGAGGTCCCCGGTGTCCCCGGGGCCGGTGCCCTGCACGCCCAGGGCGAAGTGAGCCAGGGTGCTGTCGGGCAGCTCCACGGCGAAGCACCGCGGCGGAGCCATGGCCGGAGTGCAGGTCCGGCGCCGCGCGCACAGCCGCCGCGACAGTTGCCGGAGCAGCGACGGGAGGCCCGCCAAGGCCATGGGCGTCTCGGGCCTCGCCCTAAGCCTCGCCTCGGAAACGAAACCGCTGGCGATTCACTGGACAGAGGATCCGCGGGAAACGAAAGTGAAGGCGGCTGCAGGTGGGGCCTGGGGTCTGGCCGCCCTCCTCTCGGCCTGGGCTTCTCCTCGCGCCACAGCCGCGCTTAGACCAGCCTGAGTGCAGTTAGGAAAATCTCGGCTCCTGAGCCCCTGCCTGGCGCCACCGGCCCGCCCAGTCCCTTGGCAACGCCTGCCTTAGGGATCTCAGCCTCTGCCGGAGGCATCCGCCTTGGCTGTCTTGGTTCTGCTGCCGTAGAAGGAGTTGAACTCCTCCTGGACTATTGATGCCTGGTGTTTGGGGGTGGGGGATGCATATGCTGGAGATTGAGGCACAAAGAGGTGTCCCCCGCAGAACCGTCCCACAACAAACATGCTGAGCTTCACTTACCCCCTCCCTGTACACAGGCACCTGACCCCCTATATCTTGCCGCTGTCTAGCCACATCCTAGCCTCAAATCACCACAGACCACCCACTTAGCCAGCTCTGGGCTAGGTTGGGTACCTTCACAGCTTTACAAAGGAGGCACCCCTCACCTGTGCTTCTAGTTCAGGTAGGAATTCCATTTGCAAAGGGCGATGGGTGGGCCAGATATTGCACTTTGAATAACTGCCAATTAAAATTTCTTGCATCGATGTGTAGTTTCTTGAAATTTTTATTTTTTAGTGTGTGTGTGTGCGTGTGTGTGTGTACATGTAGTGGTTGTGTTTTAGGAGTCTTAAGACACAGCCCCCTTGCTGATTCATGGAATTGATGAATATCTCAGTGATGCGCTCAGCTGGGGTCCAACACAAGGAGGCAGAGCAGGAGCCAGGGAGAAGATGCCTGACTGCAGAGCTGGTGCTAGAAGAAGATGCCTACATCATAGAGTCTGGAGTTTGGCTCAAGCTCAGGGCTTTCCCATTCTGGACTGTTCAAGATGGCTGCTCTCTTCAGCAGTAAGATCAGGGGCTTGTGTGACCACAGCTTTGTTTCTGTGGAGGCAGTTACCGAATGAGCACCTGTGTTCTTTTGGATGGCTTTTCACAGGTGCACATCAACTTCATAGTTTAGGAGAAAACAATGCAGTACCCTTCAAACTGAATCCCCTAGAGAGTTGTATATTTTTAGGGCCAATTTCAGGTTCCTAGGATGGAGAATGTGATGGTGACAGCTGGTTTGGATTGAACGAACTTGCCTGTAGCCACTTGCCCTTGTGTGTGTATGCAGAGAAGAGAAGCTAGGGGCTGAGAGGATACTTTAAGAGGCATCTAGGAATGAATGAATGGATGAATGAATGAATGAATGAATGAATGGCAGAGGTGGATTCTAAGGAAAAGCCAAATACCTGACCTGACACAGCTTAAGGAAAAAATGATTTATTTAGGTTCACATTATGAGGGGATTTGATAGGGAAGGTATGGTGGTGGGAACTTGATGGGGCTGGGTCCAGAGTCAGGAGGCAGAAAGAAGTGAACTCTGGTGCTCAGCTCCTCTTCCCCCTTCTGTTCGGTCTGAGCCTCCAGCCCATGGGATAATGCCACTCACATTCACAGTAGGTCTTCCCTCCTTAGTTAAACTCCCTGGAAACGCATAAATACACATAATCAGAGGTGTTTCCTTGCTTATTCCAACTTCTGTCAAATTGACAAGATTAACCATCACACATTTAAATTTTGTTCATATTTGTTATTTTTATATGATACATTCATAGGGGGCTCTCAAAAAAGAAGAAATGGAGGGAAGGAAGGAGGGAAGGAAGGAAGAAAAGAGAGAGGAAGAGAGGGAATGGTATTTATTACATGAATGAACTTTAAGAGGCATCTAGGAATGAATGAATGGATGAATGAATGAATGAATGAATGAATGGCAGAGGTGGATTCTAAGGAAAAGCCAAATACCTGACCTGACACAGCTTAAGGAAAAAATGATTTATTTAGGTTCACATTATGAGGGGATTTGATAGGGAAGGTATGGTGGTGGGAACTTGATGGGGCTGGGTCCAGAGTCAGGAGGCAGAAAGAAGTGAACTCTGGTGCTCAGCTCCTCTTCCCCCTTCTGTTCGGTCTGAGCCTCCAGCCCATGGGATAATGCCACTCACATTCACAGTAGGTCTTCCCTCCTTAGTTAAACTCCCTGGAAACGCATAAATACACATAATCAGAGGTGTTTCCTTGCTTATTCCAACTTCTGTCAAATTGACAAGATTAACCATCACACATTTAAATTTTGTTCATATTTGTTATTTTTATATGATACATTCATAGGGGGCTCTCAATAAATATGCATCAAAGGAACACAAGATGGAAAGATGAAAGCATGGCTGAATATATGAATGTATGTATGTATGAATAAATGAATGAAGAAGAAGGAAGAGAAGGAAGTGGCCGGAACAGAGATCCAGTATTATGATAAGAAGCAGTGCTGGCCATGTTTAAACACCAATTCAGATCTTACTTCCTGGGTGAGGTAAGTTTCCTGAGCTGTATCATGGATCAGCAGGCACAAACTACAGCACCATGCCCAGCACACACAAGGGAAGGGGGAGAATTGCTAGCATACATTATGGCAATCATTAGACTCGGTGCTTAGTCTGCATCAAGCTCCTTGACTGTAACCTGTCTGGTATGAGTTAGGCACGACTATTCATGCTTCTCAGATGTATCTCAAAGTCAGGCAGGTAAAGGGGTTGGGGATGGAGCTCAGTGGTAGAGCACCTGCCTAACCCTAAACACTAAACACTAACAAAATACCTCAGGCAGGTAAAGAAAATCTACCCCAAATTATGTTAATCCAGCTGAGCTGGGATTCAAAACATGAACTGTTTTGCTCCTCCAAGACTGCGCTGTTCCCCTCATGGTCTACCTAATGTTTGACTTCATATGCATGTGACTTGGCCAAGGACATTTCTCAATTATGCCAGAGTTTATGATATCTTCACTCCTGAAGATTTCAAAGACTTGCATCAGGTGATGTTGGTTTCATAAACACAACAGAATTTGTTTTCAGTTTCCCAGTCCAGGAAATAAAGTTTCAGTTTCCATTCAGCACAACAGCTCACTCAGTGAGCTCTTCCATTGTTAGGCATTGTTCTCCTTCAGGAGTGTTTTCCCCCTTCCACGAAAATCTCAGATGTTTACTGATGAGGAAGTAGGTGGCCAGAGAAATGTACTACCTCACTAGCATCACCAAGCTCCTGAGAGGGAGCTAGTATCTGGCACTCAAGATTCAGCCACCAACAATCCCTCTTTCAACAGGCCATACCTATGCACAACTGTGGTAAGAGAGGGATCGCTGAACAGCCCAATTCAGGATTCCACAATATTTCTAAGAAAACAGAAAATAGGAGCTGGAGAGGTGGCTCAGTTGGTAAATAGTTTGCCATGCAGGCATGAGGATGTTAGTTCAGATCTCAAGCATCCATGTAAAAAGCCAGGTGCAGCAGCATGTGCCAATAATTCAGTGCTGGTGGGGCAGAGACTGGCAGATCACCCTAAAGCTTGCTGGTTTGCCAGCCTAGCCAAACTGGTGAACCCCAGATCACCCCATAAGGAACCTCGTGTCAAAAATAACTTGAAAAGCAACTAACTAAGAGATTTAAAGTAGACCTTTGGCCTCCACATCACATGAACACACGTGTATGTGCACATGTATACACACATATGCCATATCCATCCATGCATACAAAAAATAAAATAACTGACAAGCTTCAATTGTTCATACCAATTGGGAAATGTCTTAAAAAGCATCCTATTTTCCTAACTGAAAATGTCTATCAGAATGGTATAGAAACACAAGAAAATATAAATATCTACATTTCAACACAATCATAATACGTGAACTAAGTGAAATAGCTGAAGATCAAGGAAGACATGAATTCTATTTTGTCTCTGTGTCTTTTACCATCATCTGCAAGGGGCCTCACAGGTAATAGACTAAACTACAGTCATCCTCTTCTGGTCAAATCATTACCTTTTTATTGTGTGATTTAAAAAATGATACATTATTATTATTGTATGTGTATACCTGTGTGTGGGGGGAGGCTAGAGGAAAACCTTCCATTGCCATACACCTTCTTTTTGAGGCAGTTTCTCTCACTGGCCTAGAGCAAGTCCTAGGGATTCACCTGTCTCCATATCCCTAGTGCTAGAATTACGAGCATGTGATACCATGCACATCTTTTTTTACATGGCTTCTGGGGATCAAACTCAGGGTCTTGGATTGCAATGTGTTGTAGTATGACCTTCTTTCTGAGGGCATAACATGTTTACCCATTGCCATCTTGGAGTAGGGACGACCTTAGCCAGGCAGCCATGGGCACTGATCAGAGAAAAGAGAGAGAGAGAAGCGGGGGAGGGAGGGAAGGAGCGAGAGAGAAAGAAAGAGAGAATGATAAATGAACTTTGAACTTCCTCATCAGATTTGGGTCATGCCCCCAAGATTCTTCATTATATACTATGCAAGCATCCCAAAATCCGAAAGGAAAAAACCCAACAGTATCTGAACCACATCTAATCTCTAGCTGTTGAGATAAGAGACTTGACCTGTATTGTCATTATTGAAACAAACTGAAGAGACTGCAGGAGAAAGTAGAAGTCTTCAAGGTAAAGAAAGAAAAATTGAAAGTAAATGTTAAATAGACAAAATGTTCCACTTGAAGCATATATGAGGCTTCAAAGATAACTAAAGGGTCTACATAGAAGATGTAAAGAAGCCAGCCATGGTGGCTGCACACTTTTAGTCCCAGCACTCTGGAGGCAGAGGCAGGCGGATCTCTGTGAGTTCAAGGTCTGCCTGGTCTACATAGTGAGTTCCAGGCCAGCTGGGGCTACAGGGAAACCCTGTCTCAAAAAAACCAAAAAAAAAAAAAAAAAAGACAAAGAATTTTGAAACTTAATTTTGGTATCTAGCATATCTCTAACAGCATTTACAATCCTGCTAGCTTACAATCATCAGCCATGGTTCTAGGCATGGAGCTGCACTTTCCTTCCCACCGGCAGGGGGAATAGTGCCAAATGGACTCTACTTCCCAAAGACTAGAAAAACTAGAAATAATGCACGAACAACAACAAAGACAACTGGAGGGATGATGTTGGCGGAAAGTCAGACACTCAGTAGGGTCAGCTTAGCAGGTGGCACTGAGATTTTTGATAACTGTTTGGCAAAACCCCTGAGTGTGCCTCAAGGAAAGCTACGAACTACACACTGCACCTCAGGATGGCAAATATTTTGGAATTATATAATGACAGAAGCATTAAAAGAAATAGTTTCAAAGATTTTTATTATATATGTCAACAATTCCTTGACAACCTGATAAAAAAGGAATAATTAAAGAATCTAGTTATAAAATATTTAATTTTACTTTACTGAATTACCTGAAATAATACTGATCTTGAATTCGTTTTTCTTCATCTTCGAGATAGTTGTTTGACAACGCCTAGGTGAGCAAACTTCTGGTTTGCTATGTATGAAGTTATAAACCTCTAGTTTAGGGGGAGAAGATGACAATTATAAAGAGTACATAAAAACTCAAAAATCTAAATATGGGGGCCAAAGAGGTTGCTCAGTGGTTAGGAACACTGGCTGTTCTTGCAGAGGACCCAGCTTTGGTTCTCGGCAGCCACATGGCAGCTAACAACCTATTGTAACTCCAGTTCCTGGGGATCTGATGACCTTTTTTAGCCTCCACAGGCATTGCACACATGTATTGCACTTACATAAATGCAGGCAAAATATACACATAGAATAAAAATAAATAAATAAAAAATTTAGTATCTAAATGTGTGTGTATCAGGAGAGGCTTACCGCATATTTTTGTATTATAAGATGAATAACACAGCACATATGTAGGCAAGGCACCTGTACAGAGACTAGGGACTGCTGAAGCCTATAGTCTCTGTATACCATCAGGCAAGAAGGTCTTTACACAGATCACGTGGGCCAAAGGTGCTCTTTGGCCTCGGCCCTGAGCCTCTGTCTTGGCTCTATTTCAACTTTCATTTTCAGAAAATAGAAACTCTACTCAGCTGAGACGTTCTCAAGGGAGGTATTTCCCTCCTCCCTGTGGCAGGATGCTTGGGGGTGTGGCTGGCCTGCAGCCTCATAAAATCTGCCAGACAGCTCTGGGTGTCTACTTAACAGGATGGGGATGCTAGTGCCCACTGCTCTTGCTGCTCGGATGCTGAGCCTGCTCCAGCAGCAGCTGGGCTCCCTCTGGGGTGGTCTGGTCATCCTGCTCTGTTGGCTGAGGGCAGCATTGGGATGGCCAGGTCCTGGAAGGGGGCAGCAGCAGGTGCGAGGAGACATGGAGACCCAGGAGGAAGAAGAGGAGAATCGTGCTCTGCCCACAATCCCCGTCAGTGTCAACTACCACTTCACCCGTCAGTGCAACTACAAGTGTGGCTTCTGCTTCCACACAGCCAAGACGTCCTTCGTGCTGCCCTTGGAGGAAGCCAAGCGAGGGCTCCTGCTGCTCAAGAAAGCCGGTGAGTCCCTGGTCCATGAAGGAGCCAGGATGCTCAATCGCAGGGAACAGGTGTCAGGAGCACACAGGCTGGGAGGCTTCTCCAGTACCAGACAGCAGCACCAGCCAGGGAACAGGTGTCCTGCAAGGAAGGGCAGGAAAGTCGCGATGACACAAAGGACCTCTGGTGTGGAAGGTGGCCTGGTCAGGGGGTGGGAGAAAATGCTCCCTCTTTCCCACAGAGGCATGTGAACTCTGGCCATTCAGGAAGGTGGTGCCACTTGCAAAGTTTGCCCAAAGCCAGTGGAATCTGATTTCCAGAAACACTGAGTGAGAAAAGGTGACAGGAAAACCTGGTTCCTTAGTGTGAGACCAGACCAGCAAGGCTCTACCTTGTTCACTGCGCATTCCTCATAGGAACTTTTCCTTTTTTTTTTATAAAATCTTTGCATATATATGATGTGTCAGTGTGCATGTTCATATATGTTAGTCTGGTCACATACTTGCTACAATATGCCTGTGAACAACAGAAGAGAACTTCAGGTATCAGTCTGGTCTTAGTCTTCCATCCTGTTTGAGGCAGGAGCTCTCTGTTATTGGCTGCTGCATAGGCAACACCGGCTGGCACTCAGCCTTCCCAGATTCTCCTGTCTCCTCTTATTTTGAAGTAGGAGAGCTGACATTGCAGACTGTCAGTACCGTGCTCAGCTTTACGTGTGAATTAGGGATCCAGACTCAAATCTTCAAACTTACACAGCTGTGTTACACACTCAACCATCTCTCCAGTGCCACAGGAAACTTTAAAAATGACTTTTGATAAGTGCGACATGGGCCTTCCTCTTAATAGTTGCCTAATTATCTCATCAGTTACTCCCAAGCATCTCTCAGAAAAAACTCAGTGGTGAAGTTCAAATGCTGTGACTTCCTTTGCAGACCCGTCCTTCCTCCTATTCTGCCTTCCATTCTTTGCCAGAACGCTGCCTCACCTGGAGACGTCTTTCCCTCCCTGCTTAACTCATGAGCTGAAGTACATCAGACAGGTGTCAAATATCCTAACTGTACATCTGAATGATTCCAGACCCCCAGGATCACAGCTGGCAGATACAAAGAAAACGCATGGCCAGCACTCCAGGTGCAAGCAGGCCTCCAGCAACCACACTGCTCCCACTGAGAATCACAGCTGGCTTTCTGACACACACATTAGCTGCCTGATCCTATTCTGTGCAATGAAGTCATAGAATACTGCGTTGTGGTAGCTGATTCTCTCGGGTCTACTCATTTGCTCAATCATCCATGGCCGATCTCCCGAATAAAGGCACTTGACCTTGTTATCTCACTGGACTCTAGATAAAGTTCTTCTATTTTATCACTAGAATTTTTGTAATTCATGCTTTTGTCTCTGCTTTCCTAATACAAAGCGAGATTTCTCCATAAAATGTAGCTTTTATGTAACTCACCTGCCTTCTTGATCTAAGTCTTAGGTATCTTACAAAACCCAGGTGTGAGCCTTGATGTCCAGGCCATGGCAAGCTCACTGTGGCCTCCCACACCTTTTCCCAGATGCCTCTGGGAGTGACTTTCTACTGCGCCCTTTGACTTCTAAGAGAGTCTGGTCAGCAATGGAGCTGGTTCCCAGCAATCAAGTGTATCTATCTTCAAACAGAAAATGGTGCAAGAGCAAAACATTCAAGGGATTTTTTTTCCTACTTTAAACCCTCAATTGAATTCATAGTTATTCCCAGATAGTGGAATTGATACTGAGAAATAGGACCAGAGAAAAAGGGAGTAATGGAATAGTTTTATTTCACTAATTTTACTTTAAGGAAACATTAATTTTGCCTTTAAAATAAAATGGATATGGCTGGGACTATAGCTCAGCTTTGAAGATCTTGACTGGCATACACAAGATCCTGGGTTCCATCCTCAGCAGCAGCAGCAGCAGCAGCAGCAGCAGCAGCTCACACACACACACACAAACACACACACACACACACACACACACACTAAAATAAAAAAAAAAAAAAAAGGTTTAACTCTTTTTTTATTTATTTATATATATGCTACGCCATACTACACACACACACACACACACACACACACACACACACACACTAAATTAAACTAAAAAAAATAAGGTTTACCTTATTTTTTATTTATATGTATATATGTCTGCCCAAGTGTGTGCTGGTACCCAAGACCAGAAGAGGGCACAGGATCTCCTGGTTCTTTTCAAGACCAGCAAGTGCTCTTAACCACTGAGCTGTCTCTTCAGTCTCACAAACCAAAATAATAAAATGGATATTTGGAAAGTGAAAAATGTACCTTTTTGCCCCTCATAGGTATGGAGAAGATCAACTTTTCAGGAGGCGAGCCCTTCATACATGACCAGGGTGAATATGTAGGGAAACTGGTAAGGTTCTGCAAGGAGGAGCTGGCCTTGCCCTCTGTGAGCATCGTGAGCAATGGCAGCCTGATCCGGGAGAGGTGGTTCAGAAACTATGGTGAGCTTCCTTAATTGACACCTTGGTCACTGGTGTCATAAATATCAATAATGCTGTTGCCTCCTGTATTTCCTTCCATACCGGGCCTTGGACCAGAACTTCTTGGAAACTAGAAGGAAAGAAAATCAAATTTTGCTTCTTCAAATCTCTCCTAAATTGTGTATGGTGTTAGGTCATTTTGGTTCTGCTGGGTGCTAAACAAACAAGCAGGACAGTTTAGAGAACACTGACACCTAGAGCCTAAGCTTAGCCACCACTGGGGAAAATCAGCACAGTTCACAGCTGTGTAATAAAATGTCTCTGTCAGGAGCTTATGGCAGAGCACACTTTTAACCCCACTCCTTAGGAGGCAGAGACAGAAAGATCTCTGTGAATTGGAGACCAGCCTGGTCTACACAGGCAGCTGGGGCTACATAGTGTAGGCTACATAGTGAGACCTTGTCTCAAAAAAAAAAACAAAAAAACAATAGTCTCTGTTAGAATGAGACTGTATGCAAAAATAGTCACTTCAGAAGTTCATGGTGTATGGACTGGCTGACTTCAGGGCTCTGAGGGGTTCTACAATCTCAAGATTTTTCTGAGAGACCCTATGGTTAAGTTGCATGTTTGTAGAGTCCTTGAAGCAACACAGGGCATGAAAAAGCACTTGAAAATGTGTGGAATCATGATGGCTGTCATTTAAGGGCACAGGTCCACCTTCCTCTCACAGTCCCATCCTCTGCCCTAGCTTTGTGAGCCATTCAAGCTTTGAAGTCATTCAAAGGGAACCTGGCACTTTCCATCTGTTGTAGACATTGGCCAGAGAATTGGACGGGATGCGTCTTCAGAGATACAAGCAGATGGCGTGTGTGTGTGTGTGTGTGTGTGTGTGTGTGTGTGTGTGTGTGTGTTCTATCTATGAAGGTTGACCAGGAAGGGAGGATTCATAGAACCAGGGTCAATGAATCAAGGAAGAGAGTGAGGTAGTGTGTCAAACCAGATGTCTGTGAAAAGTGGTACCTGCTGGAAACCAGTGGGAGATTCAAAGTTAGCTTGGGAACCAGATTCATAGACAGAGAGTTCAGAAAGCAGTGTGAATAGACTAGTGGATGGTGTTTTGAGGGGTGTACCTGGGCAGCACCCTTCTTCCAAGACAGCATTGAAATGCCCGTCACTGTGTTGGGGAATGAGGGGCAGGAGGATCAGTGCACAGCAATGTCAGACACTCCTGTGAGTGCCTTGGAAAGGTGGGGTAACCCATTGTCCTGGAGAGAAAGGAAAGCAGATTGGGAAGGGGAAATGTAAGGCCCTCTTCAGAGTGGTCAAGTGGGTGCCAATTGCAAACTTTTATTGACTTCTATATTACATGAAAGTTTGCCAGATCTTCAAATTATCCAACATACTTAAAGTTATATTCTATGTTAAATATCTCAATTATAAATATCTGCAGATAACTTGAAATTGGATCTGTGTGCTTGGGAATGAGGAGAACCAGGTCAGAGTTCCTGCAACCTCTCCAAGTGTGGGAATTTGCTAGCAAGGTTCCTAAGACTCACCCTGTGAGAGTAAGATACAGCAAGAAGAGGAGCCACAGGTGTGCATCTCTGAACCAGGAAGGCAGACTCGTGCTTCTAAGTCCCTCTCAGGCCAAGTCTCCATAGGTTCTGCTCTCTTTCTAGCAATGAACTCCAAAGACATGTCTGGGACATCTACACAGAAGCCTCACTTCAGTTTTAGATCCAGGAGTTTCATTCAGAAGTGGTCAATAGTGCAGGTATTGCTAAGGCCTAGCTCCAGGACTCACAACAATGTATTCAAATCCAATGAATATTTATAAACATCCTGGCAAGTCCTGACAGGCTGGTTCCACATGTCCCATGGCCCCAGTTTATACCCATTACCCACTGGGGTTATATAGGATGTACAGTCATAGATGCAGAGGCTCTACAAGCTCCTACCAGGATCCCATGCTCTTCCCAAAACACATGAGGGCTCAGCAAACAGATCTGCTCTGTTAAATCAGTCCTCTCAAGAGCTGTGACCAGGTCTAGGGGAAATCACTGAAATACAGAAAAAGGTGGAGAGGTGTCAGGACATAGTGACTGACTTACAGATGCTTAACCAGCCAAGGCTCTCCTGGAAGAGTCAGGTCTTTATGTATCTGTTTTTGAAATTGTTTTCCATTTGGTTGGCTCGCACCTACATGCTCCGTTGCCTCATCTTAATGTAATACCCCTTTAGTAATTTATGAGAGATCAAGTTTTAGAATATTTTGAGTTATTTTAACTAACAGAAAAATGTCTTATTCTGGCTCTGGTTTGTGCTTTTTACGTACAAGCAACACCAAGTGGGGCCTAAAATAGCAGCTGAAATTAGTCTTTCCACTCTTTCGGAGAATAGTGACTGGAAGAATGTTTATAATTTGAAAGGAATTTTAAGGTAAAATAGACAAGCTTGGAAAGTTGCAAAGGCTAGGAGTGTTCAAGTTTGGCAAAGGGCAGAGAAAATACCTTAGAAAGAATGCCTGCTCTTCACAGGAAGGGAGAGCATTGAGCAATGAAAAGAGAGCGAGAGGGAGCAGCGAAAAGAGAGAGAGAGGTCACAGGAAATGCAGAGCAGAAATGGGCTCTGCAGAAACCAGTGAAGGAGAGCCTCCAGACAAGATAACTTCCAGTATTTTCTGAGCTCTGTTAATGTTCCACTATCAGAGTGTTTAGTATCTGTGACCTTGTAGGACGAGGCCTGTTTATTCCTTGGCTCCTGTACCCAGCTTTGCTTTATTTGGGTTTCTCAGCCTCTGGTTCAGTTGTATCTGACTTAGCAGAGAGTCTCTGTGCTTCAATATATGTTAAGAAGAACTAAAGAACCTGTCAAAAACTCCAGGCATCTTTATAAAGCAATTTTTGTGATGGAAAAACAGAAGCAAATCTATAATTGTTCATAATTCTTGGCACCTTAGAGGCAAGCTTCATAATATATGATTTTTATGCAAAGATAATTGGAAAAATAATTAAGATATTAATACTTCCTCGTGCAAATATATGCATGCAGAGCTTTGAAATGATAGTAGTGCGATGGTTTTATTATGCTTATGTGGATCTTAATGATTATTTGTACAAGTGCCGTATGTAACTCACATCTCAGCTGCTTTCAAGTATATATGAAAGATTATCACTGAAAAATTTAAAACACATATGGGACAAAGAGATGCTTTAGTATAAAGAGACTTAAATGAATTGGAGGGCTTGGTTATTAGAGGAAAAAAAATTGATCATTATTCTCCTGCAGGTGAGTATTTGGACATTCTTGCCATCTCCTGTGACAGCTTTGATGAGCAAGTCAACATCCTTATTGGCCGAGGTCAAGGGAAGAAGAACCACGTGGAGAATCTTCATAAACTGAGGAGGTGGTGCAGGGATTACAGGGTGGCTTTCAAGATCAATTCCGTCATCAATCGGTTCAATGTGGAGGAAGACATGAACGAGCACATCAAGGCGCTGAGCCCTGTCCGCTGGAAGGTAAGTACACACTGCCCTATCCTGGTGTTAATCTAAGAAACACGGAGGTGGGACTTGGTTCAGAGACACTGAAGACACTAGGAATACTGAGCACTCTGGAACTTTCTAGACAGGGCCTCGGTCTCTCAGCTCTGTTAAGTGTTCAGTCACACTCTTCTGTGCTTCATTTTCTGCTCCTGTAATCTAAGTGACTTTTTCTGGAATATTTTGAGGTTAAAGGTCTAGGCCATGCCAAGTATTTTAAGATGCTCTGAAGCATAATTTACCAAGAAACTGAACTTTTTCATGCTTTTGGCTTATGGGTAGATGGATAGATGTTCTTCATAAATTCTGATATTCTTAGATTTGCATTGAATTCCTTGGTGACAACAGGGCACAGCCATCTCTCCACAGAGCAATGTAGGCCTTTATTCCAAGAAGCATCCCTTAGGACCAGCCCTACTACCAACCAATGGAAATCTCAGGCTCCAAAGCCCACAAGTCAGCTTCTTGCAAACAGTACCCATGATGCACGGGGGCAATTCAAAACAAATTCAAGTTTCCTATCCCCGGCAGGTCAGAAACCACAGAAGACTGTGCTTAGAAAGCAACCAGTTGGACCTATTCTTATATCCACTGATGCCCAATAAGAACAAGGCTGGCGGGGAGGGATTTTTAGCAAACTGTCCTGGTGACTGTTGGTAGCTCATCTGAATCTGAGCCAGAACTTCAGGGTATACATAGCTAAGGATAAGATTCCAACAAGGAAAAGGAAGGGGTCATGTTCTGTGAAGCTCTGAGGGGACATCAGGAAGGTGGCTCACACTAGGCTGACTTGGAAATCATCACAGAGGATGTGGCAGTTGTCTGTGCTCTGAAAACAGGAAGAAATTTCCACAGGTGGGGCTGACCCAGGCAAGAAGGTCCCATCTAGACCAGAGAGATGCTCACCCAAGGAAAACTGACTTTTCAAGGCTGCCTTGGATGGTCAATAGATCCCATGTAAGCATCTAAATACAGCTAGGAAGATGGGGATGGCGTGGAAGTGTATTTGCCCCAGGTTGTGCTGTAATATATGTGGAAATGGGTTAAGTAGAAGCTAAAAATGCTTTACACTTTGAAGATATATAAAAACAAACATATTGATTGAATGTCATCCACACGCCTAGGCCCAGAAGTAATGGAAAACAGCTAAAGAAAGATGGGTGGTAGGAAGGGGAGGGGCTGCAAAACAGAGAGGCCAAGACCTGGGCCAGGTCAGAAAGGCCCAGCCACCAGGACCTTCCCCTCTGCCCACCTGCCTGGCTGCTCTCCCTGCTCCCTCCGCCCCGTGCTTCCTCGCTCTTGCTGCCTTTCTTGTGAGCCCTCTTCATCCTCTAGGTTTCTGAAATTTCTCTGCACACTTTTCTTCTCTGCCCTGGTTTGTTCCCCTCTCCCAGCCTTTTCTTTATCTGTTGACTTCCCTTTGCACGGAATCACCCCACTTTTCATTTCAAGACTCTGACTCTCAGTGGGAAGGGCAAGCTCCTGCCTTTTCTCAGAGATCCTTGATATCTGTGGGGCCTTAACTGATTCGGGCAATGTCCCAGGTAAGCACCTGTGTTTAGTTGGCTCCAGCTTTCCCGTGGCTCAGAGCTTCATTCCCTGCTCCTCCTCTCTTCTTGGGCGTGATACTGATCAGTTATTGTGTCCCAGGCTTGGCAGCACTGAACCTTGGGAAGGGTTTTGCTGTTACCTGTAGTCATGGAGTGAATGGTGGTACAAGGGTCTTCACCTACAGATGCTGCCTCCTCTTTCAGGTCTTCCAGTGCCTCCTCATTGAGGGGGAAAACTCTGGAGAAGATGCCCTGAGGGAGGCAGAAAGATTTCTTATAAGCAATGAAGAATTTGAAGCATTCTTAGAGCGTCACAAAGAAGTGTCCTGCCTGGTGCCGGAATCCAACCAGAAGGTTGTAGTCAGCAAAAGCTGCTTTGTTCCCTGCCACATGTCTTCAAAAGGGGGATCTCTCACCCTAGAGCTTTCTGCATTGTTATTTTAGAGGATTCTAGAAGGAGAAAGGGAAGGGTGCAGCCTCAGGGCAGGAGAGATGGAGGTCCAGCAGGGCCACCTGACAGCTGTGAGGTCTTCAATGACCTTGAGTTTCTCTCCCCAAGAATGGGTTCTAGGCTACTTCAAAGATGATATGATTTGATGTAAAATCACATGTATGACCCTAACGTTCATACACAGGATCTCTATATATGTGGTAAGCCTGTTGGTGTAGGGCCTGAATCAGAGGGAAGGTACAGGTGGTGCCATGTTGACATCGGCCTCATCACATCTGTCCCTCACACCCTATTAATGATTTTTAAAGTTGTAAAAATGTGGAAGAAATGCATTATCAATCTTCAGGGTCCATAAATAAAAGTTGCAGGGGAGCAGGGCTATGTCAAAGTCATATGTACTTTCTGTGGTAGCTTTCACACTATGATGCAAAGCTGGTTAGCTGTGATAGAGATTGTGTGGTCTGCATAGCAAGAAATACTGAGTATGTTAGAGATGTGGCACAGTTTGTAGAGTGCCTGCTGCATATGCAAGAAGTCCTAGGTTTGATCCTCAGCATAATGTGAAACTGGGTATGGTAGTTCAAGCCTGTAATCCCAGCACTCAGGAATTTGTGGCAGGATGATCCAAAATTCAAGGACGTCCTTGTCTATGTAATGAATTTGAAGCCAGCCTGGGATACCGGAGACATTGTTGTAAGAAAGACATAAAGACAAAAAAGAAAGTGAGAGATAGAAGGGAAGGAGGGAGGGAAAGAGGGAGGGAGAGAGAGAGGAAGAGAAGGAAAAGGTAGGAATAAAGAAACGGAAGGAAGGAAGGAAGGAAGGAAGGAAGAAAGGAAAAAAAAGAGAGAGAAAGTAATATTTACTACCTGACTCTTGACAGAAAAACAGAAACAAACAAAATGCAAGCTTTCCAAAATCTCCCTATAGAAAATCCAGCAGTGCCTCAATATAACCTCAAAATGTACAACTATTTTAAGCCATGTTAGAGCAATTTTAGAATCATCAGGGGAGCCCAGCATGGTGGTGCCCACCTTAATTCCAGCGCTCTGAAGGCAGAGGCAGGCAGATCTCTGTGAGTTCTTAGCCAACCTGGTCTGTAAAGTGTGTTCCAGACTAGTCAGGGATACATTCTGAGATCCTGTCAAAAAACAAAACCAAAACAAACAAAAAAACATGTAAAAACAAAACAAAATAAAAACAAAACCAAAAAGAATCATCAGGGAAAGCTACCTATAGCTCCCAGGTAGTCCCATTAAGGGCCTAATAAGCAGAGACCTGCTTATTCCTTGAAAACCACAATCATTCCTTGTTTGGTGGCTGCTGTTGTGGGGAGATAAACACTGGCTGTCCTGGAAACAGCTGGAGGGGTGGGAGGAGTCAGCCTGCTCTGAGCAACCTGGAGGGTGGTTCTTTTTTGGCCTGAAGCAGAGAATCCAGGCTGACTGGATGGACTGGATCCTCAGGGAGCAAAACTTCCCCTGGTCAGGGCCACTTCAAAGTCATGCAAATGAATGAGAAGTATGGGATGCAGAGAAACACAAGGTGAACACACCCTGTAGGAGAGAAAACACATACTGAAAGATATTCCTAGAATGAAAACTCAATTTTTCTTTGAATTCTCTTTTACAGATGAAAGACTCCTATCTTATTCTGGATGAATATGTGAGTATTTCTCACAGGTTACAAAATGACCACTAGCAAACTAATGGAGCAGGAGTCCCAGAGTTGTGCTAAAGTGGGCATATCCATTTAGAACATATTTGTTAGTCCCGGCATGCATCTTGTGCAGAGCCCTGGCTTTACATGCCATTTTTTTTTTCCAATTTCATGCATGTATATAATATAGTGTGATCATGTTCACCCATACAGAATTACCCTCTTATCCCCAACCAACCGCTGACCCCCTCTGGGCAGGTCTTGTACAGGTAACCACAGCTGCTGTGAGTTCATGAGTGTAACAGCCATGTCCTATGTAGACGACAATATTTCATATCACTCCTCCCCCATCCTCTGGCTCTTAAAATCTTTCCACTCCCTCATCTGCAATGTGACCTTGGAAGGGGTGATAAAGATGTCCCACTTATGACTGAGCACTCAACAATCACCTATTCTCAGCACTTGGACCAGTATGAGTCTCTGTTTTAACTACTGCCCATTGCAGAAGGATGCTTTTCTGACCAAGGCTGAGGGCAGCAACTAGTCAATGTGCATAAACATAAATATTTATAAGAGTTTATAAGAGAGTTTATGGGTCCATTTAGAAAGGTTGTAGGTTTCATCCTAGGGCCTGTGACCTCCCGAGACAGAAGTATTTGACGAGGTTTGCAGTACCAGGCATGTATTCCCTCACATAAAGCAGGCCTTACAACCAACCAGAAAGCAGTTGGTCACCTCCAAACAGTCATGCCATATTGTACCACTTGACATATCTTGCCTGGCAGGTCAATTGGTAGCGTGCAAGGTCCATATCTGGGTCAGATGGTTGATAACTTTTCTCCCTCAGTAGCAACACAGCAGCTTCTGTCACTCTGAATGCTAGCCAGACCAAAGGATGCTTTCAACTCAGTTCCAGCCTGGTTCCTACACATCTTGTATTTCTTCAAGAATAGGATCTTACCACCTAGTTCCAGTGGGCAACTGAGAGCTGACAATAGACTCTCTTTTTTTGGAGAGGCTTCTTGACCAACAACTCATAGGAATGTCTTCCATGCCTGGCACTGGGATTTGGGTTAAAAGCCCTATGGCTTCTGGGAGCATTGTCCATCCATGCAAGGCATCTATGGTCAAGCTTCTTGTTTTTGTTATTAATTGTATTTTTATTAAGCTTATACATAGTAGGTTTCTATGGCTTTTTCATACATCCTTGTTTTGGGTTGACCCTCCCTTCTACCCAACCTTTTCCCCATCACCTGGTCCCCATTCCTGCTCAGACTTTTCCTACCTCTGGCATTCTGCCCTTTCATATCAGATGTATTTACCATTCCACTTTTAAGACCACTTCCCCATCCTGTTCTCGAGGCTTCTTTCTTGCTTCCTCGCTTCTTTAGACACCCCAGCTTAAGCAGAGAAATCTAAAAATTCTAATCTGGGATCTGCACATGAGAAAGAACACGTGACATTTCTTTCTGGGTCTGAGTTACCTCACTCAGTATATGTCTCCTCCCAGTCATTTTCCTGCACATTTCATAGTTCCATTTTTTTCTTTAGCGATGAATAGATTTCCACTGTGTACAAGTATACCTTTTCAGTCCTCAGCCATCAATTGTTATTTTCTAGCTATTGTGACTAGAGCAGTAATGAACATGCTGTGCAAGTATGTCTTGTCATAGGGTTTAGAGCTGGGTACATGACCAGGAGTGGTATAGCTGGCCATATAGCAGTTCTATTTTTAGTTTTGTGAGAAACCCCCACTCTGATTTCCATATTAGCTGCATCAGTCTACTTTCCCACCGACAGTGAATAAAGGGTCCTCTTTCTTTTCATGCCGATCACCATTTATCATTTGTTTTCTTGATGATAGTCATTATTACTGGGTAAGATGGGATCCCTGATGCCTAAGGATGTTGAATGCTTAAAAAAAATTTTATTAGCTGTTTGTATTTCTTCTTTTGAAAATTTTCTGTTCAATTTCATAGCCCATTTTTTTCTCATTAGGGTTTATTCGTTTCTTGATATTTACTTTTTTGAGTTCTTTGTAGTCTACGTATTTTTCTTTTTTCAGATATATAGCTGGCAAAGGATTCCTCTTGTTGTATAAGCTGTCTCTTCATTCAGTTAACTGTTTCTCTTGCTGCACAAGAGATTTTTAATTTCATAAAGTCCCATTTGTCAATTTTTGGTTGTATTTCCTGAGCAGCCAGAGTCCTATTCAGAAAGCTCTTATGTATTCTTATATTTTATTCTCCACTTTTTCCTCTCAGATTCAGAGTTTCAGACTTTCCTTGAGATCTTGATCCATTTGGAGTTGGGTCTTATGCAGGTAGAGAAATAGAGATCTAGTTTTATTTTTTTACACGTTGATATACAGTTTCCCAGCACAACTTGTCGAAGATGCTATCTTTTCCCTAGCATTTTTGCATCTTAGTAAATATTAGGTGGCTGTAGTTGCATGGACTTATATCTGGTTCCTCTGTTCTATTCCATTGACCTACATGTCTGTTTCTGTGCCTGTATCATGCTTTTGGGCTTTTGGTTTTTTGTTTGTTTGTTTGTTTGTTTTTTAACTAGGGCTCTCAGTGTAACTTAACATCAAGCATGGTAATCCTGCCAGAATTATTTGTTTCTGTCAAGATTTCTTTGGACATTGTATTCCTAGTCAATATGAAATTTAAGATGTTTTTCCACTTCTATGAAGAATGGAATTGGGATTGCACTGAATCTGTGAATGGCTTTTAGCAAGATAGCCATTTTCACATATATTTGCTGGCATGATCCAATTCCTCTGCACTGTCTTCATGCTCATACTCTGCCCTCCATGTGACCCATTCAACTTTGAGGCTCTGGGCTTTCCAGGGAGCTCTCTGCTTGACCTGTTGGAATGCCAGCTTCCTTTCAGTCTGGGTTTCCTTCAGCATTCCTGTCTCTTTATTGAATTCTATTTTCATATCCTAAACGGTCTTCCTTACTTTTCTCCTGTGTTGTTTTGGAATTCAATTAAGAATTTATTTCCATTCTCTTAAAATTTGTTCAGGTGTTTGTTCTTGTTGTCTTTGAATTCTTTGCACAGAGTTATAATTGTTCTTTCGAATTATTTGTCTGGAGTTTCTTCTAAGTTGCTCTCACTTGGGACCAATACAATGGGATGGTGATTTTTAGAGGAGACATATTATCTTGGTTTTTTTGCATTGTTTGTGTTTTTCCATTGCTACTTGTGTATCTGGGGTTATTTTGTTGGTTAAATCATTTAATAGGGGTTCCTGGCCACCTCTATTGAGTCAATGTTTGAGAAACAACTTACCTTTCTCTGGATGGGCTGGTTTGGGATTGGCCGGGTGGTGCTTTAAGTTCAGATGTGGGATCACTTAATATTCTTTCATAGATAGGTAGCTGAGGGCTTCCAGCTCAGCCAGGAAGGGTTCAGCATCTGATCTCACATGTGGGCACTGTGCACCAGTAGACAGAAGAAAAGGTGTGGCGTGAGGTCGGTAGATTTGTGGCCACTTATGTCACAGGAGGTTGGTAGATTTGTGGCCACTTATGTCACAGGTGGGTACTCTGCACCAGTAGGCAGAGAAGAAGGTGTGGTGTGGATTTGGCAGGGCTGTGGTCTCTGACCCCATCACTAACTAGAAAGGTAGGTGTTCCCTGTGGTTCCTGCAGCAGCAGTTGTTGGGGTGCTGGTGAGAGAACAGTGGGGATATGGCCTATGATCTGAGGAGTGGATGAGTATTCTCTACCAGTCCTGGGGCAGCAGGACTTGGGTGCTGGGCCAGATTCTTTCTCAGTATAACCCAGGGCCTTAACTTGGACATGAACTGCCAACCAGGTGATGGTGCTCCCATGTAGCCACACAGATCTGTGGATGTCACAGATCTGTCATGCTCAGTAGAGTGCTCCATGATGTTGTCTTGGGCTAGGTTGATGGATCTGCTGTGACATAACAGAGCCTTCCACTTCACACCATCTTGAATAACCTGAGGCTGCCAACACCTTCATGGCAGATGAACCTCAACAATGGGCGGAAGGGGAAGCCCCATCGTCCTCTCTAGACACCTCAATGTTAGCAGGAAAAGGAAAACCCACCCTTCTTAAAAATGGAAAGGAATTGTGCTCGCTTTCCTTTGCTTTGTGGTTGTTGTTTAGAACTTTTGGATTTATGTCGTCTGCTGATATGCCCAGCATAGGACAGACCATACCACTCAAAGATGCATTTTTAAGAAACAAGCTCCAGTAAGAACCATGAGCCCAATATTGATATTGGCTCCTTGAAAAATTCTTGGTATAGCTTATATTTCGGTATTTCCAAGTTAATGTTATTCTATAGCAATTTCCTTTATTGTCAATATGAATTTAATATAGCATAAAGAAAAGTGACCACAGAAATGGGTTCAGTTTATGGTTCCAGGGTAAAGAGGAGACTCTAAACAGGTTGCCTTGAACAGAAAATTGTCATGACTAGCTGGGGATAATTAACAATGTTCTTCAACAAACCAAGTGATCCCCAGAGAGTGGCACAAACATAGGTGAACCAAAATTTGCTTTTGCCAGTCAAGTCAATGTGTGTTACCTGGCCTCCTACACCATGCTCAGTGTAGGTCACAGGGGGTCTGAAGAGCTCACTTCTCAATTTACCTGTAAAACAATCAAAAGAAGAAAAATAGGACATACACAGAGAACATCTGATTCTCTTTGTTCTGGCACTTATCTACCTCAGTGCTATCTTCCTTATCCCCCTACCCTTCCGAAAGGAGCCTTCATGAGGATTCAGACTTCCACACACAGCTGTCACTTCATCAGATCATTCAACTCAACTTCCTAACAACACAATACTGCCCCAAGCTGCTGTGCTTTTAGCTCACACTTCCCTATACTATCTACTGTCCAAACAAACCTCAACAACAGCACTAGAGGACCATGTCCTAGAGGACCGACATGTCCTCTGGTGATGAGGCTGGGCTGCTCCTGACATGCTCAGCTGCCCTTACATATTCCTGCTGCCTTCTCCAGGGCTATGAGTGGAGGGTGGAGTGGAGTCCAATGAGTTCAGAGTCTGCTCAGTTCTCAGTACATGTTTGTCGACACAATCAGGATATCAGAAGTGATTCTAGGTGGATACTTTCAGTTCAGGTTCACAGGAGAGACCATATGAAAACATCCCCATTTCTGCCTTGAATTTCCCAGATGCGCTTTCTGAACTGCACTGATGGGCGAAAGGATCCTTCCAAATCCATCCTGGATGTGGGAGTGGAAGAAGCAATAAAATTCAGTGGGTTCGATGAGAAGATGTTTCTGAGGCGTGGTGGGAAGTATGTCTGGAGCAAGGCAGACCTGAAGCTGGACTGGTGAGGCTGAGAGAGGAAGGGGACTCTGAGCACCTGTGGGAAGTCCACATGCAGCTATCTTCTGTCCACCAAGCTAGGATCCTGGTCTATCTCCAGGGCTGAAAATCTGACTCACTGCTGCGTATCACATCTGATGGTCTGTGGATTTTGTTACAGAAACAACCACCTGTTTTTGTTTTTTTTTCAGCTTGTTTGAGCTAAGAAAGGAGTAAAGCAACATAATGACAACAAGGGAAGTTTTGAATGTTCCCTGTGCACACAGCTAAACTACAGTTTACAGATGGCTCTGTGAGAAATAAACTCCAGGGATCCCAATGAGCCAGTATCTAATTTGTATTTGATTTTAAGAGACTTTTATTGTGACTGCCTTGTTTTTATTTTGAAGCCTATTTTTCATTTGAGAATGTTAGTTCTTTTCTGCTATATCTGCCAGTATTCCCACCATGAAACAGCATGAAATAGATGCTCGTATTCCTGGTACCTGTTCTAAACACTTTCCCTTTCTGCCTTGTGTTCTTGGAGGTTTTACTGAAAAGTATACAGAGATATACACATATCTCAAAGATCCATAAAGGAGAGTCTTATTTGTAAAGAGCACCTGGAAGGAGTTACTAACGGCAGGGAAGATGATGAGACACTTCCCCAGTCTCTGATGGAGCTGAATGAATGACAATTGGTCTAGGCTGTGCCACCTCGTGTAAGAGTCTTTCATGATGTGGGCATGAAAACAGTGCTTAGGTGGCTGCACCCACCTAGTGTTCAGGCTGCACGAGTGTGTCATGCTGAAATACAAGTTTGTTTGGGTAGAAGGTTGTCCCTTAGTCTGAAGTAAGAGAGCAGCTATGTGAGCATAGTCCATTTGGGTGGGCTGGAAAGACTCTGACAGGGACGTAACGTTGGGCTGGTGTTAGTATAAGTGAACTTGTGGCACCAGAGATTATTTCTCAACTACCTATGAAGTAAGACCCAGGCTAGGCCAATATGAAAAGAGATAGTTCCTTTTCTGTATCAAAAAGGCATAGGAAGGAATGTCGCTTAGTCAAAATCCTCTTCCTGTGGAAATATTGCATGAACTTCATTATGTAACCTAGACAGCATCTCAAGGTCTGGAAAATAATAACTTCCTATCATTGTTTCAAAAGAGCAGAATCACTGAAACTTGTTTTGCCCAGGCAGTGGGATTTAAATTCCACTGCAAATCCAGTGCTGCCACTAGAGAGCACTAGGCATCTGATTTCTTAAGCATTTTAGAGAAATTTTGCTTTCAGAGCCTGTTTCCCAACTTGGTGATTTGGGGTTGTTTGTTTTGTTTTCTGGTGCAGAAATTGCAACCAGGGCTTTGCACAGAACTTATTTTTGTGATCTTTTTTTATCACAAAAATTTCCATGCTTCAGTTAGGTCACTATGATTCAATTGAGACATACTTATGTCTCATCAAAAATAAGATATGTCGTCCTGTATTTTCTCCTGTACACATTTTGTTTGTTTGTTTATTTGTTTGGGTGGTTGGTTTTGTCTGATTTTGTTTGAAACAGAATCTAGATAAGTGCTTCAGGCTGGCCTGGAACTTGTGATTGTGCTGCCACAGCCTCCCAAATGAAAGTGATTACAGGCAAGTATCACGTCCAACTCTTACATAAATATTTTTAAGAGAACAATGAATCATGTTTTTCCCTGTGTATTTTGAAATTACATAATCTACAATGATCTCTCATAATTAGCTTATATGCAAAACAAATCTTTTCGTTAAATGGAGTGAACTCTGTTCACGTGTGAAAGCCAGAAGGGCTGATACTCAGTGGGGACTGAGTCACGTGACCTAAAAGCTAACTTGAACCTGAAATCTAAATTTTCTAAGTTGGAATGTATTTTGTTCTAGTTAAGAAAAACTGTATTTTCTCTTTCCCCTGGGGAAAATATAATATGAACAAAGTAGACTTGAGAAATGAACTGCTCTCTAAATGTATTTCCCAGCTGTCTCAGCCTCTTCTAAACCCTTTATGCAAGCTCAAGATTTGTGAGCCCTTTATGTTTAAAACTTCTGCTAGATGAGGAAGCGCTGATCTTCCTAAAACAAGGGACTCTAGATAGATTGACTAGACTCAGCGGAGGGACTTGCACTGGAGAACGGCTGGGGGCACTGACAACACAGTGACAACACAGGGATGACAGAGTATATGGGCTCCGGTGGGGGGGGTGGCTATGGGAGGGTGCCATTTGGGATGCAGGTATAAAGATGAATAAGATTGTTTGGGATGTTCTATATAAAATACACAAAAAAATCAATAAAAAATACTCAAAAATCCCCTTTTCTTAAAGGGGAGATAGAGGATATTTTATCATCAGAGTAAAAATCAGACTTGGATTGAATTGTGTTTTTGCTTTTTCAGTTTAAAATGAGTGTTCATTTTTTGAAATGTGATTTTTATTGGGAAAATAAAGAATGATTTAATTGATGTTTGCTAAGCATTACAAATGTCTTTATGCAATGATTGCTTGGATTTGGATATTGCTACAGGGAATGGGGTTTTATCCTAAGAAGTTAGGGGGTAGAACATTCCACATTGACTTAAAAAGTATTCATCATCTGTATTATCTAGTGTTAAATGATATGACCATGGCCTGTTTCATTTTAAGCTATAAGGTGAGTGGGGTATTTTAGCTGAATTGTATGACAAATTGTATTAGAGTTTGAGGTTTGACTGCAACATAGATAGACTGACAATCAAACCCAGCAGCAACTGGTCCCTTTCAGCAATAATCCATCACGTGTCCTACCCTGTTAAAGAAAGGACTTTGTTTAATAAGGTGTGATTAGGCAGAAATCACACAGGCTTCATCTGAGAATATACAGATGAGGTTGCGTGTGTGTGTGTGTGTGTGTGTGTGTGTGTGTGTGTGTGTGTGTGTAAGTATTGATCTAGTCTATCATAACGTGCTCAGTGTATTAAAATATTTCGAACACAGCCTTCTTTCTCTGACTCCATGTTAGACTCTCTTTGGTGTGCGTCAGTCACTCTGTGCTTTGCATTCTATGATTGTTGAAGGCAAGTGTACTTTAAAATTCAACAAGGTTATCAACACAGTCCACTTCAGAAAACCCTCTACAGCAGGATGCATAGAACTGATCACAAGGCAAAATGCTCCAGTCTAACATTAAAACAAGCACTCAGAACATGCAGGTGGGGAGGGAAGATTGCACCCCAGCCTTTGCCATAGACATGGTGGGTGCTGCTGTTCTGATGGGACCTGGTCAGCAGTCCAGGACCCAGAAAAGGTCACAGTTGTGGCAAAGTAAATCCACTACACCAGACTCAGTTTCTATGTGGTAGAAGTGTCGGACTCTGATTTTGTTCTAACAGCACTCCCTCAACAGAATTGTGCAGCATCCATACCCCAGCCCAGCACTGTCACAGGTGTCCATTTCTGTAGTCATGATCCACAGAGAAGGGCAAACTCTCAGTCCAGGATCTGGTCCAAAGATCTCAGAAGACTCAGTGGTGGGAACTAGCTGGACTGCAGAAAGGAGTCTAGGTTGTAACCCACACTTCAGGACAAATCAGCACCAAAAGAACAGTGCCTGTCAGAGGGTCTTTGAAGGACACAAGGAGCTTGTCCCAGCAGCCTGATTCCCAGTTGTCCTTTCAAGCTGATACCTGCAGTGCATGTGGCTAATTCAGCAGCCCATGACACTCTCTGATGAGTGGGCTATGCTTTGTTTTCCCAGCATATCTCTACTTGGGTCACAGAAGCAAAAGCTCGAGGGTTCACCTTAGACCCTCCCAACTTGAATTTGGTCACCTTGAACCATACAGCATTGTCCTACATCTGCTCCTGCATTTAGCTGGGTATACCCTTATCTTTGGGGAAAGCACGATCATACACCCTTCAGAGGACCTGCCAATCCTGGGCTCTCCCTTATAGCCACATTTCAGTGGCGCAACTCAATTCCAAACCCTCACTGATGTGTTTCCTGGCAGGTCACAATAGGGTTCACACAAAACCCTTGCTTATACACATGGTAAATATAGCAGGTCCAACTCAGATGCCAATAGAATAGGCTTGAAAACTGAGAAATATTTCAACACTATTTTTATGACTCTCTACATATACATTTGAAGAACATTAAAAAAGTAAAACAACAGTTACTCCTCATTGCATCACTCAGAGTGACAGCCAGTATAACTCATGCATCAATCATCCCGAGTATAACAGACTGAGCTGATGTTCACCTCTTCCATTTCCATGTATCTTTCTGAACATTTTTAAGAGAGATTAACATTTTATACTTTAATGAGAAGAGCCAGTTGTTCTGTGTGTGGTGCATGCATGCACATTTGTGTGCAGATGTGGGTCCAATGTGTGTACAGGTGTGTATAGAGGCTAGAAGTCAACACTGAGTATCTTCCTCATTATCATCCTGAATAGCTCTCCATCTTATGTTTTGAGACAGGTTCTCCTTACTTAATCCAGAGCTCACCAATTAGCTAGGCTGGCTGGCCACCGAGCCCTGGGGATCCTCCTGTCTCTGCTCCCTGAGCTCTGAGATACACTGAGGTGATAAGGCTATGCTGTTGCATTCAGATTTTTTTTTCTTGAACATGGATGCTGGGGATTGAACTCGGGTCCTCCTGCTTGTGCAACAAACACCTTACCCACTGAGGTACCTTCTATTCCTGTCACTTTGGCTCTAATTCAAGGACCCACTGTTTCTGGAACTGATGGGTCTAGAAATCCCATTGTTCTTGAAAGGTTCTTGAATGCTGAAGCCATGTGGAAGTAAACACACTGACAGGGGCTGAGGTGGCTGAAGGGACACCATGTCTGGCACTTGAAGCATTGGGACTGTGTCCTTCCTTTCACTTTCCTAAAGCAGTCCTATAGTAGTAAGGACACCTACTACTCAGGTCACCTCAGGGACACGTGCTTGTGAGCAAACATGAACATGTTGTTGGCCTTAAGTTTAGCCTTTTCTCTGGTATTTTCCAGACTCTGGTCCTGTAGCCTCTGAACTCTCTCCTAGGACTCACAGTGAGTAATGGACTGGTGGGTCTTGAGCAGGTTCCTTGCCCACTGCAGAGAATGCTGGGCAGGAGACAAGTACTGCAGGCCCCAGTCTTCCAGGTATTCATGTCATAGGTAGCCAGGTTGGGCCAGTACCTATAAAGTATGGTAGCCTTTATAGGTCCTGCTTCTGGAAGAATCAAAGTGGAGGTTGAGGATGACTAAGCCCAGCTGACTCCGCCAAAAGTGTCCCAGGATCGCACAAACTAAAGACAATATTTTAATGTTTAAAATATTTTAAAAATTATGATCAACAATGAGTGAGCTCTCTGTAAAGCCACATTTTAATTAAAACTGCTGCTGACCCTGACAACAAATGCCAAACCTTTCTGACCCTTCAGTATCTGTCCTTCTGGGTGGTGGTAGGGGTAACAGTTCCACTTGGCAGTACCTTCGTGTTTAATGCTGTGTATTGAGCAAATGAAATCTTGGCAAGTCCATGCCAGTTCTGACAGCATGCCAACTGCCCATGAAATTTGTTCAGGGAATCCAGACTAAGCAGTTCCCTGTCACTTCCCAGGCAGGAAGACCACCCTATGCAGGCCTGGAAATTTTGGAAACTATTAATTTAGCACACCATTGACTTCCACCAACACACAAGCTAAGAATGCCATTACACAGCATCTACAACCTATGCTTTGCTGTAACCCACCTACCTGAGGTCCCCCAGTGTATTTGGAATATGCCTAGGTTTATGATTTTCCATACAAAAATCATGTCACTGCTTCTGTGGTGGAACATGACTTTCAGGGCAACCTGAACCCATTTTCCCCAGCTACATTCCTCTAATTGGTTTAGAAAAAATGTGCTCTTATTCCCTTGGGAATGAAAGCTTGTTTGCATCCACCGAAAACATCCACTGCAGAGAGACACATATGGCCCTTCTGCTCTGCATTTTCAATTTAAACTGCTTTCAGTTCTTTAACTATCCTACATTATTGCCAATTTAGGGTATGTCTGGAATGTCGTCCCTGAATTCATCACCGAGCTTTGTTCTATTTGTTTATAAAGATCTAAGTCTAGGTCTGGGGGACTTACATGCCTCCCTGAAAAGAACACTCTTACCTCCTCCAACACCGCCCTCGCAGCATCCCTGTCGGTAAAGATCACCGAATTGAGCATGTCAGGCAACACCGGGTGTAGCTGAGGCTCAGGGCCAGAAGCACGCATGCGCAGTCCACCTGCACCTGCCTGTCCCCCTGCAGCGTCCAGAGGCGGTGTCTCAGCAAACCTTGGGCGTCCAGCTCAAACTCGCCCAGGTGCGGGCGCGCGGCCTCCGGGCAGGAGCCCAGAAGCTCCAGCAGGGAGCCCCGGGTGTCCGGGTGGTCGCCGGGGTCGCGCAGCAGGAAGCCGTGCTGGACGGCACCGGCCTGTCCGCCTGGACCGTAGCGGAAAAGACGCCACTGTTGCCAAGGGCCCCGGCACAGCTGGAGCAGCAGGCGCTGGAGCATCCGGGCCGCCTGCACCAGGGGCCCGCAGCCTCCGCATGCACAGCGACTAGCTGCAGGCGGGCGTCCAGGCAGCCGAGGTCCTGGATGTCCCACACTGGCAGCTTCAGAAACCCCGCAACCGCTGGGGATTCACTGGACAGAGGATCTAGGGGAACGGAAAGCGAAGTCGGCGGCCAGTGCAGCTCCAGGGCCTGGGCTCTCCTACCTGGATTGGGCTTCTCCTGCGCAGCCACGCAGTAAAGTGCTGTCCTGTGGGAGGGAAAACTTGACCTCTGGACCTGGGCCATAGCTGCCCTTTCTTACTGTCTCTTGGCAACATCTGCCGTGACAAAGGCTGCTTCTGCCTGCAGATTCAGCTTAGGCCGAGCTCCATTGACTGGCTGACTCCATTCTGCAGGGTCAGGTGCCCCCTAGGCCAAGGTTTCAAGTGTTCCCCTGTTGATTATGCCAAGTGTATGTGGGGTGCCAGAACAGTGTATGTGCTGAAGACAGAGCGATCTCCTGTAAAAGAATACCCCCTCCCCCACCAGGCCTTGCAGACACTGCAGACCACTCACTCAGCCAGCCCAGCAAACCAGGCTAGGCATCGTCACAGCCTT